GCTTAAATTCAGAGCCTTGGTGCTGTACCTTAGCTTTTTCACTCAGGGCTGGTGTTCACATATTAATACTTAAGTCATAGTTCGGCTTGACTTTTCTGCCCTGAATGGCTTCAAATCTTGATCATCAGATCTCAGCCTACTGAATATCTGGAATTATAGGTATGAGCCACTGGCATCTGGCTAAGATCTTTTTCTTTTCTTTTCTTTTTTTTCTTGTTAAGGTGATATACAGAGGGGTTACAGTTACATAAACAAGGTAATGAGCACATTTCTTGTCAAACTTGTTACCCTTTCCCTCAATTTTTTCCTACTTTCCCTGCCCCCACACTCCCCAAGTTGTACAGATCACTTCCAAAATTGGCAGAGATCTTTTTTGAACACTAATATGAACTATTTTGTTTTCAGTTTTAAAAAATAACTTTAATATTTTAATAAATGTTATCTTTTTAAATGTTAAATTGTCCCATCTTTAGCTAGGAAGAAGCATATCATATTGGCCCCAGTGTGTGAGAGTGTGTGAGTTTGTGTGTGTGTGTGTGTGTGTGTGTGTGTTGGCTAAAGATCAAACCCAACACCTCACACATGACAGACAACCACTCTGAGCCATATTCTAGCCCTCTACATGTTTTTATAATTATTTTTAAAGACTGTTTTGTGGAGCAGTTTTAGAATCACAGTAAAACTTCCAGCAAGTACAGAGATTTCCCATACATCCCATCCCTCAGCAGAGTGGTCCATTTATTATTATCTATAATCATGTATCGACATGTTGTAGTTTATGTTACAATTCACCCTTGGGCGTTTTGTATTCTGTGGGTCTGAATAAATACATAATGACATATTTACCACTGTAGTATCATATAAATTTTTTCATTGCTCTGAATACCTCCCTGCTCTCCTGCCCTCCCTCAATGCCCCTCACTTCTCAACTGCTCACTATGAGCCCATTAGTCTATGGTGCCTTCCTTGCTTTCTGGCACAACAGATCTCAAGCTCATGTTGATCATTTTCTGTACCTGTCCTGGAATCAACTATTCTTTCAGTGAAGAATACTATTCAGAGGGAGCTAGGAAGTAAGTGTGTGTGTGTGTGTGTGTGTGTGTGTGTGTGTGTGTGTTACTTTTTAAACAAATATTATCAGTTAATAGATATTTTAACTCAGATTTAGTATAGGTCTTTTACTTCCTTTTTGTACTTGATTCTTTCAACTTGGACAGAAAATCTTGGTTTCTAAGACATTTACATAACTCCTTATTTACTATATTTTATGGTATATTTAAATGCTTCAAAATAATAAGTGATATTGTAATCATTAATAATAATTACTCAATAAAAATTTAGATTTCTTTAGAACTCCTTTTATCCTTACAACATTTTCTACCAAGGATACATATTCAAAATGTTCCTTTGTTTTTTGTTTTTTCTTGTTCTTTTTTTTTTTTTAGATAGAGTCTTGCTTTGCTGCCCAGGCTAGTTTTGAAATCTTGGACTCAAGCAGTCCTTCTGTCTTAATTTTCATAATGCTGGTATATCACCTTACCCTATCAAAATGTTGTGTTATAAAGTCGTTTGAAATGTTTCTTTCATTTATGTGACTATGTCATCCATTGATGGGTTTATTCATTTTACTTTACTTTCTATGACATTTATCTGAAAAGAAATGTACTCTTTACCTGTCTCATGTAACTGTAAACCCTCTGTACATTGCCTTCATAATAACAATAAAATTTTTAAATTTTTTTTATTTAATATGCCACCTAGTTACAAGTTTCCAAAATAGAAACTATAATGAGAGAAACTTGACTTCCATCACTGTCCCTCCTCAGGAGCAGCCTTTTTTTTTTTTTTTTTTTTTACTATTTTTTTTTTAATTGTAAAAATGTTATACAGAGGGGTTACAGTTATATGAATAGGGTAGTGAGTACATTTCATAGTGAGCATTGTTACCTCTTCCTTTATTTTCCCCCTCTCATCACTTCCCTCCCCAACTCCTCCCGTCCCCCTACCCCAACATTGTAAAGTTCACTTTCAATATAGTGTCTGTACATCTCATCGTCACAATGGGTCAGCCTGCATCTTCATTTAAGCATTCTGCAATATCCCGTCCCCTCCCCAAAGTACAAAAATATATATACAAGGTGCAGAGCACCAGCATCAAATCCAGTAAAAAATAGGGTTATACCATAGGGGAAGAACATACAATACAAACAAAAGAATCACATAGTGTATCGTAAGTACATTAAAAGCACTAGCAAGCAAGAAAAAAAACAAAAACCTCTTGTGTCCCTGTTTTGGGGTACATTTTGCTTAACATTATTTCATATGGTTGTATGTACATAGCCTTTGACCTATTCTGCTTGTCCTAGACATGTACTAGTCACTGCAAACAAGGGAAACCATGAGACCTATGTTTCTTTGGGCCTGGCTAACTTAACTTAATATGATTTTTTTCCAAGTCTTTCCATTTCCTAACAAAAGAGGCAATGTCATTTTTTTGGACGGAGGCATAGAAGTTCATTGTGTGTGTGTGTGTGTGTGTATATATACACACACACACACACACACACACACACACACACATATATGTGTGTATATATATATATATATATACACACACACACACATATATCACATTTTCTTGATCCATTCATCTACTGAGGGGCATCTGGTTGGTTCCATATCTTAGCTATGGTAAATAATGAGGAGTGGCCATTTTTGTCAGACACTAATCCTTACAAGTGATTCCTTTTTCAATATTACTGTGCTCTCTCTCTCTCTGTCTCTCTCTCTCTCTCTGTCTCTCTCTCTCTCTCAAACACACACACACACATACATTTTATGTCCCTCCCTCTCCCGAACAAAGGTAGTATAACTTGCATACTCTCATATGCTTTGACTTCTTTCTTCCACTTAATAATGAATAACTTCGTGTCAGTCTATGAAGGTCTTTTGTTGGAATTTTAAGCTACTTACTCTTTTATTATAGGATGTAATATAGTTAATTCAGCAAAGCCCCTGTTGAACGGTTGGCCTATTCTCCAACTTTAGTTATATACAGTGCATAGCTATTGATAATATAGTTTGCTAGGCTAGATCTCTGAAAATAGGATGACTAGGTGCTGTCTACTAGAGTACCTCATTAGATAAACTCTGTGCCTACCTGGATGTGGTGGTACATGCCCATAATTTCAGCACTCAGGTAGACCATTGTGAGTTCCAGACCAGCTTGGGAAACATAACAAGAGCCCTCTTCAAAACAGGGGGAAACGAAACTGGGCCTAGAAGTCACATAGACAGCTTCTATCTGGCATATACTAAGATTGCAAACTTCCAGACACAAAGCAGGTATTCAGCATAAGCTATATGACTTGTATAGTTACAACAGATGATTCTTTCCAGTTAAGATGGGAACCCTCTCAAAATCCAGGATCCCGAATACTACGACAGTTTTGTAAGCAGCCTTGCAAAAGGGAGCAGCAGTCAGCTGCTGGGTTCACTCATCATACACAGCACTATATCATTTGTATTTGGCTTGTGTTCTTTCTCATCTTGGTTGCTCTTTTTGTATTAGGGATTTGGAGCCTTTGTGATATAAGTTGTAAGTACTTTTCTAGTTTGTCTTTTGATTTTGCTTATTATAGTATTGTGGTTTGTGGTTTTGAGGTATAGCTTCTCCCAGTCCACAGTTAAAAGGAAATATGTATTTTTATTTCCTACATGCAGTTTCTAATTTATTTGGAATTTGTTTCTTAGGTCCCCCCCAACCCAGAAATATCTCTGTAGATTGTGCCGATATATTTTTTAGTGTATCTTTTCCTTATTTTTTTGAAAAGCTACCTTTATCCAGATAGGTACTAGATTTCTGTATGCTTCGTGGGTCTGTTTCTAGACTTTCTGTTCTGTTTCATTGGTTTGTTTATCTATTTTTGTACCATTACCACATTTTAAAGAAGTATGATAGGCTGTGCATTCAACAAGTTCTGCTTCTAAAGAGAATAATCACCAACTACATTTATAACAGATATTTCAATAATTAAGAAGTCCCTAGATAAACTCCTGGTGAAAGGCATGGAGACTCAATTTGAACAGATTGGACTTGTGGTACATTTACCAAATCGAGGATTCCAGATAAGGTGTTTTAGTCTTCCCCTACAGATCATCAAAAAGAAGGTGGAGAGCCACAGCCCTATCATTAACTGCAGTGGCACAGTTTAAGGTTAAAAAGTACAAAAGATTTTCATACTGGGGAAAAGATACAATAAAAATTACTTAGATTTTAAAAAGCACACAACTCTCACATTGGAAAGAATATTCCTTTAGTGAATGCAAACTGAAAGTGGCTAAGTGATGATAAGAATCAACCCCTGGTAAGAAGTAACCACAGGATTTACACCAGAGGAGAATGGGGCTAATACATTTCTGAAGAGACACTGGGGAATTAATTAGCAGTGTGGGGGCATCAAGTCCTGATGCCCTGGCAGCTTCCAGTTAAAAATGCAAATCCTTTTTTTATTAAATGCGGTAAGAAAGTATTTTCATTAGGGTATATTTAACCCTTCTCCCCTGCATTAAAAAAAAGAAAAACCTTCAAATTCTCCTTTATATCATTTTAAATATATAGTAGCTTTGACTCCTCTACCCTCTATCCTCTGTTCTTATTTTCAAAGTATTTTACTTATTTTTTTATATGAACTTTGTAATGAACATTATCTAGCTCTGGAAAGTAACACATTGACATTTCATTAAGGTTATATCACGTTTATAAAGTAACATATGAATAAGTGGCATCTTTGACACATTGAGTCCTACTACCCACTGGTACAGTATGTCCTTCATTTTGTCAAGTCCACTTTTGTGTCTTTCAACACTGTCTTCAGGTTCCCTCAGCATGTCATTTGTACATTTCTTGGTAAATTTATGTCTGTTTTTCTCCCTCTATGGGCCTCCTGCTCCCTGATGCCTTCAATTTTGAGAAACATTCCTTAATGCTTACATGACAGATTTGATGTGGAAACCCGACATGTGTTTATTGGTGACCATTCAGGCCAAGTAACAATCCTCAAACTGGAACAAGAAAACTGCATGCTGGTCACAAGCTTCAGAGGACACACAGGTAGGAGTCAAAGCAAAATCATCCTGTACAGACCTCATGGTGTGTGTCACCCGCTGTGTATTCTGATGTTCACATGATAGGGTTTGAAAATAGCAAAGCACAACCTGTGCTTGGGCAAAGAAACAGGACATGCATAAATGATTTCAGAATAGTTCAGTAAGAGATTATCTCAAAATTTTTTCTCCATAATCCAAATAAGAGAAAGCATCTATTTTGAAAATGTTGGTGATTTAGCTTTCATATTACATTTGAGAAAGCCAGTGTTGGCATGCATTAATGAGATGATTGAGACTCTGTGGCAACTGCTCTGACCCCAGAAGACTGAAAGGACAGCTGCTTCAGTCTGTCTGGCCACTCTTAGAGTGAAAAGATGGTGTTGCCAGAAAAATCACTTGACAAGAAAAATGCTGTCATCAAGGCTAGCTAGACAACATCAAAAGGGACATGTTCATCTCTCCCTTGCTTCTGGGTCCTGAAGTTGATAACCTGAGTTTTATTTTGTTTCTCATCTTTTCATGATCATTTAAGCAAGGTGATAGCAAGCAGTCATTTTTAGTCTTTGAAAGACTTGAATAGATGATGATGATGATTCATGCTTTAGTAGCATTTTTAGGATGTAGCATAGGCTTTAGAGAATGTTGACCCCAGGAAATGAGCCACTGCTTGTTGCCATGGTCATTATTGGGCTCTTGTGTTCTTGCAAATGATTAACCCATGATTTAGCATAGATCAGGAATAATGCTCAGTTTGGATGTCATATAAGAATAGCAGTAGGTGAAAGAGATTGTGAAACTGGATAGTACCCATCAGTCATAAGACAGTTCCTAAAGGAGAAGATACATGCAGTAAAGGGAAAATTAAGTCCAAGGATAAAGATTCATAAAACATCGCTTTAATTATCTGTGACTTTGCAAGGAAAATTGCATAGAAACTTTCCTTGTGGATAGGATTCCAGTCTTTTCTCATTGACTCTCCTGTGTGTTCCTTCTCCCTCACCTTCACATACTGGGATCAAATGCTCTACCACCTGAGTCATGCCCCAGTCCCTTTGCATTTTTTACTTTGTTTTTCAGGTAAGGTTTCAAAAACATGATCTTCCTACCTCCACCTCTCAAGTAGTTAGGACCACAGGTGTGTACCACTACAACCCTATAACCCCATTCTTTTTGAGATAGGGTTTTGATAACTTTTGGGATCTATAGCCCTGTAATCCAGCTTTCCCCCGAATTGTGGGGCCTGAACTCTGGGCATGGGCACTGTCCCTCAGCTCTTCAGCTCAAGGCAAGCGCTCTACCACTTGAGCCACAGCACTATTTCCACCCCAGCTTATTTTTGAGATAAAGTTTTGATAATTTGGGGGCTAGCTTTGATCTGTGATCCTCCTGTTTCCACCTTTCAGGTTGTTTGGTTTATACAGATGTACCACCATACTTGCCCTCATTGGCTGTCTCTTTGTAGACACATAGATTCTGGCCAACCAGAGTTCGGGTAGCAGCTAGAATTGTCTCGCCTCAAAAATGTTAAACTTCCGTTTCACTTTGGACTTGAGTCACCTCACTTTTCATTTCCTTAAATCTTTTACTACTCTCCACTTGTTCTTTCTGATAGTGAAGACTGGTCCTCTGACCTACTGTTCCCTAGTGTCTCAGCTGTACTCACTTCCTGACCCAAGGGTACATTATTTCAACCATGCTTCTAACTAGCACTGTCAGTTCTATGACTGAGAGTGTTTGGGGGCCATGATATAGACTCTGTCCACCTTCTTTTTAAAACTATCTTCTTGGTCTGCAAGTGTATTTCTTTGAAACTTAGACCAACATTAAACCATTGCTTCTATGAGAAGGCTACTATTACCATTGCGGCATTGTGATTTCCCATCTAGGTGCACAGAGTTACCTCATCTTCCCTCTACCTGAGCTCAGTGTGCTCTTTTGACCAGTCCCCTAAACAGCTTTCACTAAGCTCCCCTATCTGCCTCCCTATCCTATCCCCAGACTCCTCCTTCTAAAGCAGAAGCTTTGGGGGAAAAAAAAATTCTCAGTCTGTATTCACCCTACCCTAACAAACCAAGTTTTTCTTCCTTCCTCTGGCCCCAGGCTGAATCTCCTCAGGATCTACACACCAAAATGAGTTCCCTTTTTCTCCACTTAACTTTCTTGCTCTTCTCAATTTAGTAAGGAGCTTAGGTTTCTTGCCTCCTTGTTAAGAAAACAAACTGTAAAACCTTCTCAACTCCAGGTCCAGTTACTGCTATTTCATCTTCTTTTCTTAACAGTCTCTTTTTTAAAAATTGTGAACTGTACTTAGTTAAAAGATTACTGTTTTATATATTTTTAAATGTTCTGATTGGTGGGGCATTCCATGCATTCATATTTTGTGATCATTACTACTGTCTCTCATATAAAATCATAGAACATTATTCATCTTGGCAACTGCAACTCTGTACATTTAGACAGTGACTCTCTTCCACTCCCCCCAGTTCCTGGCATCCACCCTTCTGCTTCCTGAATAAGGATCTGACTATTCTAGGTACTTCCTGTAAGTGGAATCATACAGCACTTGTCCATTTGTGAATGGCTTATTTCACTCAGCCTTGAAACATTTTCAAGGTTCATCCAGTGTGTTGCAAACAGCAATACTTTCTTAAAGAATATAATTTCCCCAGCTACTTCCATCTTCACCTTCCATCTCCCCCCAGCCTCCTGCAGTCTGGTTTGTCTCTGTGGCTCTACTTGAGCTTCTCTCCCTGAGGTGACTCATGACATATTTTGCACCTTATCATACTTAACCTTTCAGCAGCATTCTCCATTGTGGCTGTTCCTTCTTCCTGTCTCAGCCTTTCATTCAGTTCTATGAATATCCTCTCTCATTTCCTTTAATGCCTCAGGGTGTTGGTTCTTTGAATCCCCAGGTCTGCTCTGGATACTCTTCTCCTTACCTTAACTCTCTGCTCTCCCAGGTCAATCTCAGCCATAGCTCTTAGTCACAGAAATAAAAGGCATAGTCATTGTCCTCAAATTCCTCACAAGCCAGTGAGAGACACAAGCTAGTCTATAATTACAGCACATAGTAGCACAGACAGAGAAATGAAGTGCTGAGCACTTCCAAGAACAGAAAAGTGACTTAGTTGGAAGGAGGCAGGAGTTACGTAGGAAAGGCTCCCTAGAGGAGATGTTGCTTGCCCTGAAGTCCTTGGGGATGAGTAATTGTCGAGTTCATGGGAAACAAGTGCAGAGATTTGTACAGGTAAAAGAAGACAGCATAGTTCAGAGGCATGGGGATTTGCAAAAGTGTGGCTCTCTTGGACACTGCAAGGTCCCTATACTGAGCTGGAACACTGAGCATGAGGGTGAAAGAAGGGAGGCAGTGTAGAGACAGCCAGAAAAGAAATGAGAGTCCTTCAGATAAGGTAAGGGATTCAACTGATTATCATTCTAGAAAGTAGCATTTGCCTAATACTTACCTAGCTGCTGTACAGTTTATTCATTTAAGGCTATAGTATGAACACTCAGTGATTCCATGGTGACTCAGACTATTGTTGAACTCTTCCTATCTAGAAGGCCTGTTCTATACCCTGGCAGAGCTCATACTCAGCCACATAGAATTCTGGGAAAGAGTTTTTTTAAAGATCAAAAATTTTCAAGTTAAACTAGATCCATTGAGCAATCTTGGAGGGGCTGGGAACATGGCTTAGCAGAAAAAAAAAAGAAAGAGCAATCTTGGAGCTCTGGGTGCCTGCATTTCATGCTTGTAATCCTAGCTACTCAGAAGGCTGAGATCTGAGGATCACAGTTCAAAGTCAGCCAAGGAAAGGCTGTGAGATTCTTATCTCCAGTTAAGCAACAACAACAAAAAAAAATCCAAGAAACACACACACACACACACACACACACACGCACACACGCACGCACGCACGCACGCACGCACGCGCGCGCGCGCGCTCAGAGGCAGCACCTAGGTTCCAGATTCAAGCCTAAGGACTGACACCAAAAACAAAAACAACTAATCTTGGGAGTTTTAACAATCTAAATTTCTGACTTAGGAACAGACACATCTTGCAAGTATGAAAGGTCATGCAGAAATGTGGGGCTATCAGGCTTGGCCTGATAGTCAGGTCCAGAGGCCAAAAAACCTTTTCTAATCCATACAGATTTAGGAAACTAGTTTTACGTTCTTATGCTCCCTCTGCTGGTTTTCTTTCTGGAACTAAATGTCAAGTATCATGATTCTTTGCTATTTCTGGAAAAATGACAATGTATTTGTGTTAGAAAGTCATAAACTGACTTGAACAATCTTATTTGGACCATTGGACATTAAGAACCATCAGTAGAATCTTTTTTTCCCAAAAATATTTGATTAGCATGAAGATATTAGAAATAGAAGGGCTTGAATAAAATTCTGCCAAAACATTAAATTAGTGAAAAATTAAGCACTACCTTGTTCACTAGCTATTAAGAGAATTGACAGGAATCATAACAACTACAACAAAAGTTACTAAACAGGCTGGGCACTGGTAGCTCATGCCTGTAATCCTAACTACTCAGGAAGCTGAGATCTGAGGATTGTAGTTCAAAGGCAGCCTGGGAAAGAGGGCCACAAGATTCTTATCCACAGTTAACTACCAGAAAACCAGAAGTGGATCTGTGGCTCAAAGTGGTAGAGTATTAGCCTTGAGCAAAAAAGCTTAGGGGACAGCATCCAGGCCCTGAGGTTAAGCTCCATGACTGACAAAAAAAAGCAAACCAAGAAGTTATGTACAAATACACAAATTCAAATAATTACATTGATCACTTTTAAGTTTTGTTTACAACAGAGTCTTGCACAGAGTTCTATCTGTGTTGGTTGCCATCAAAATTTTGACACTGGTTTGCTCTTACTGTGGTGGCTGCTGATGCATAGGTAAATGAGACAAATGTAATTCTTGCTCTCACCCACCTTGAAGTCCAGCATAGAACACATGCATTAGGCTGATAATTACAGGTAATTCACTAAGACACTATGTAGGTAGTAAGTGAAGCCCAGACCCACTCATAGAATGCTTGGAATCAGATAAGAAGAAGGGCCTCTCCTTGTGAACTCACCAGGGAAGCTTCCCAAGGAAGTGGTATTTCATGGCACTTGAGAGGGAGCCTAGAGATAACGCTTACACACCCTCCTCACTTCAACCTAGAACAAAATATAGTGACGGAGACATCAAATACTTTCAAGGCTTTTGGCCCTAGCACTGAATCAGGCCCTCCTCTAGCCACATGTTAAACTGCCCAGCTTACCCAAGAGAGTGTGATGTCACACTCCTGGCAAATTTCCAGAGCACAATCTGGTAAAAAGGCAGACTGTACAGTTTCCAATCCTGACTGTGTAACTCCATGCAGCCTTTTACTTTTCCAAGATACATTATAAAAGTCTCAGTTTTAGTTCACTTAAGTATTTTGGTAATAGGCATTACATTTCTGAAAATGTTTAGACTCAGGTCCAGTTCCACATTTGAAATTCCTTTCCAACTATCAAAAATGTACAGGAGTGGGACTGAGATAATCCCCTCTCAAGATCACCCAGGAGGTTGAGTAGGATCCTAAGGAAGATCACTTGAGTTCTAGTATTTAGAGACCAGGCTGGGCAACAGAGAAAACTTGCACCTGTAATTTTAAAATAGGAATAAAAAAGAAGTAGGAATTAAAGTAGTATGAATAAGATGGTTATCCTATAAAATTTGACAATATTTAAAAGTTAAGAAAAGGTGTAATAAGTTAATATGTATACTTATTGTAGATCATTTCCCACCCATTAACAATCACATTTGTGAGTGTAAAATACAGGTAATTGCAAAAACTTATTTTAACATTTTGGTATTTGGCATGGTATTTCATGCCTGTAATAGAGTCCTCTAAAGAAGGACAGTGAGTTTGCTAATAAAATCTGGGTGTACTGTTAAACTATCACTACAGCTTTGATAGGAAGCTTAACAGTAGATTGTGGTCTATGCCAGACTGAGCTAAAAATCAAAACCCTATTAAAAAAATAACAAAAGCAAAAATGGCAGTTGGGGGAGTTACCCAAGCAGTAAGTGCCTTCCTAGATAACATGATACCCCAAGTACAAACCCAGTACTGTGACGATGGGGACAGTGCTTCTCAACAGCAGCACTTCCTTCCTCTCCTCTCAGCCAGAGGCTCTCTTGCTTATTGTTCCCCTATTCTTCTCTGTCATCCAATAGATCAGGTTAGTTGAGTAAGCATTTGTTGAATACCTTCTGCATACCAGGCACTGTATGTTCAGATACAAAGATACAGAACCCAAAGTTTACTGTCAAACAGATTTCTAATCTGTTGGGACAGTGCAATGATAGAATGAGGGTAGTGTGGTGACTAAGCCCCAGCACTGATCTTTCCAGAACTGATATTCTATTAGAGTAGCAGACAAGCAATGCATTTGGGGAAGAAAAAATAAAGCATCAGGCAGAGAATGGTAAAAGCAGTGAAGAAAGTTGTCTCTAAGTAGGTGGTATTTGGGCAAGGTTCATTCTTCCATGAATAGAAATGTGTTCATGCAGAAAGATGTGAGGGTAGAGAAGCTAGTAAGCATGATCTGAAGTAGTGGGTAAGTTAGGTAAGCCAAGCTCAGAGAGACCAACAGCTCATGTTTTTTTTTTTTTCTCATATGTGGAAGTTCGATCTAAAATTCACTGGGACATGATAAATTATACAGGACTCTTGGCATTCACACACAGTGAAACCAAAGGAAGAGGATACTCTTAGGGGAGAAACGCAAAGGCATAATGCCTCAGTGCCTCTGATCATATAAAATCATACTTATTGAAATGAATTCTAGGAAATGGAAACAAGAGGTTTGTTTTCTTTTTGTCTTATTTGTTTACTTATCTGTCTCTGCAGGGGAAAAGGAGGGGCACAGAAATGGAAGGACAAAGGGTAAACTAATGCAGCAATGGTACTCAGTAGAAACTATGTTGAAAATGAACTATACAACTTGTGGGCAGGGACAGGAGAGACAAAATGGAAGAGAGTGAAGGAAGGGGTAACATTGCTCTAAAAGAAATGTATTCATTACCTGACTTATGAAACAGTAACCCCTCTGTACATTACCTTTATAATAATATAAAAAATCTTCTGGGACAAATATGAGAGAAATTTTCCTAAAATCTTTTAAACACTGAGACAAATTGATAATCTAAATTTTGAAAGTATCAGATTCTAACAAGTTATTCTCTAAATATAAAAACAAGTATTTCTGACATCCCCAAGTATATACATGGAAAAAAGTTAATTGTTTTTACTACACAAGGAGTTGGATTTATCACCATTGATGGTGATTACTAGAGTAATCCTACCAATCCATATCTCCGTACTGCAATTTAAAGATTGTAATTGATCTAATCAAATTTTCACCACAAATTCTCACCTACAAATGGGATAGTGGTTAGTTTGATATTACCATTAGTAACAGAAAAAGGTATAGTGATTGTAGTATTAACTATATCTGCCACATTACAGTGGAGAATACTGACACTTAAGGGTATAATTGATTCAAAAGGAGTCTGTAAACTCAGATTACCAAAGGGAAAAATATGCATTCTAATCCTGGGTCCTGATTATATGATGTTCAAGATTTTGAAAAGTCTAACCAGACACCATTGGCTTATGCCAATAACCCTAGTCATCTGGGAGCCTGAAAACAGGAGGACTGTACTCTCAGGCCAACCTGGGCAGAAAGTTTATGAAATCCCTTCTTGACTGATAGGTGGGTACACATCCTAAGCTATGCGGGAAGTTGAGATTGGGAGAATCACAGTTTCAGGCTAACCTAAGCAGAAAAGTCTGAGACACCATCTTGATGGAAGGATACTGGGTATGCATATCTGTTATGTCTACCAGGAAAGGAAGCCTAAAATAGGAAGATTGTGATCAAGGTACATACCCAGGCTAGAAACAAGACCTTATCTCAAAAATAACCAGTGCCAAAAGGGCTAGAGTAATAGCTTATCAGTAAAGCACTGAAGTAGCAAATGCAAGGCCCTGAATTCAAATCAAGTATCACCAACAAAAATTAAATGTCACTGGGAGATTGTGTCTCATGCATTTAATCCTAGCTACTCAAGAGGCTGAGATCAAAGGATGACATTTTGAAGCCAATCTGGGTAGAAAAGTCCATGAGACTCTTTTCTCCAGTTAACCACCCCCCCCAAAAAAAAGCTGGAATTGGAACTGTGGGTCAAGTAGTAGAGCTCTAGCCTTAAGCAGAAAACCTCAGGAACAGCTCCCAGACCCAGAGTTCAAGAGGACAGACAAAAAAAAAAATTGTATAATAGACATTTATCAAAAGGCAACATACAGATGACCAAAAGAAATGGGAAAAAAATTCTTCAGCACCACTAACTACTCACTAGAGAAAGGCAAATCAAAACCACATGAGATGTCCATTAGCATGATATTATCAAAAAGACGATTAGAGAAAGGCAAATCAAAACCACATGAGATGTCCCTTCATCCTAGTTAGCATATTATCAAAAAGATGATTATGTATTTCTGATCTTAAAAATTGAGACAAATATGAGAAAATTGTGTTAAGTGAAATGAACCATATATATATAATATATATGTTAAGTGAAATGAACCATATATATGTACGTGTGTGTGTGTGTGTGTGTGTGTGTGTGTGTGTAGTGCACTGGTGCTGGGGATTAAACACAGAGCTTGAATGTTGTCCTTTAGTTTCTTTATAAGGTGCTCTACCACTTGAGCCACAGCTCTACTTCCTGCTTTTGGAGGGGTAATTGGAGATAAGGGTCTCACATACTGTCTTGCCTAGGCCAGCTTCAACCCTAGTTCTCAGATCTTAGCCTCCTTAGTAGTGAATATTACAGGTATGAGCTACCAGTGCCCAGTTCATATTTTCTTAAGCAGTATCTGCCTTCCATCCTGAAAACAAGAGATGAAAATAAAATGGAGTTTAAAAAAATTTTCAGTTCAATTTTTTATTGATACATAATTGTACATATTTATGGTACACAATATATTGTAATACAAGCATTCACTGTGCAATGATCAAATAAGGGCAGTTAGCATAGCTACCTCATCAGTAATCATTTAAAATCCTCCTTCTTGATATATTGAGATCTTATACAAACCATATTGTTAACTATAATTACTCTACTCTGCAACACAGTACCAGAACTTATTCTTCTTTTTCAGTTGTAGCTTTGGGGTCCTTATAATAATTGATTTTATGGATATTAGGAATGGGGGGGATGCTTAAAGAGTAAGTTTTTTTTATAGCTAATCTTTCTTTTCTGAGACTTACTTGTTTGTTCATTCAGCAAACATTATTTGCCAGAAACTGCCTTGGGTCATGATTCCTGTATGTTACCACTTTTTGTTAATACTTTTATTTTGTTTCTGATGTCCAACTATATCTGTTCTCAGGCGGGGTGACTGCTCTCTGTTGGGACCCAGTCCAGCGGGTGTTGTTCTCTGGCAGTTCAGACCACTCAGTCATCATGTGGGACATTGGTGGGAGAAAAGGAACAGCCATCGAACTTCAAGGACACAAGTAAGACTGTTAGTGCTTTTATAGATCTGAAAAATGATTCCAGCTGAGAGAAAGAACAAGTCCAGTCCCCATGTTAGGACCTTTGTGCAGGAAGGAAGATAGCAGGAACAGCAACCTTGATTTATGTCCACACAAAAGTGTACTTACATATTAATACTGCATTTGTTCCACAGAGGACCTGAGAGTGCCTACAGAAATCATAAAGTAAAACAGTAGCAGCAATAAATAAAGGTAAAAATCAGAGCCAGGGAGAATATAAGAGTAAAAATTTCAGAGGGAAGGAAAAAAGATCTTTAAAATATGAGCCAGGAAGGCCTATAACATTTCTATACTTGAGTTCAAATGTGGCTTCACACTTCCTGGCAGCTTGAGGAAGAGGGGAGAGATAATACCTTATCCAGTACATTTTGTACTTTACCAAATATTACTTTGATTCTTACCAGGTTCTTCTTTTACAGGGAATGGGCTGTGGGGGACTGAGGAAAGCAGAGAAAGTCTGATGTTTCCCTAGAGCAGTTCTCAAGCTTTGCTTTGCTCAAAGAATCACAGAGGGATTTATTAAAGTATAGATTCTGGTTGCTGGTCTGGAGCTGAGGGACCTGTGTTATGACAAGTTAGACAACTCTGCTGATGACCCTTAGACCACCTAGAGCCACCTTGCCATCGGCTGTTGCTGTCCCAGGGGGCAGAGCCTCTTCTTGTTTTGTTGTTTGTTTCACATACAAAAAAAAATTTAATGTGCTATTATATAATAAGCATCTTGTAAATGGGAGTTATTATTACTTGGGTTAGAAGTAGATTTTTGTTGTTGTTGTTGATCATGTGGCTTGAACTCAGGACCTTGGCTTTTTTACTCAAGGCTAGTGCTCTATCACTTTGAGCCATAGTGCCACTTCCAGTTTTCTGATAGCTAATTGGAGATGAAAGAGTCTCATGGATTTTCCTGTCTGAGCTGGCTTCAAACTGCAATCCTCAGATCTCAGCTAGGATTACAAGAATGAGCCACTGGCTAGAAGAAATTTTTATTATCATATATATATATATATGTATATGTATATATATATATGTATGTATATATATATTGCAGAAGAAAATGTTAGATTTATTTCACAATTCTAGAGTCAATATGAATTTGTGTTTTACTTGTGCCATTTCAAAATGATACTCTAAGTGACCTGGATAACCATTAATAAATGACAGTAATACTTCCATAAATTAGCTGGTGTTAAATAGCATTATTAGCTTGTCCTATAAATCTGTCTAGAAATACTAGTTTCCAAATGTTCTTTAAGTCCTTAAAGCTACAATCTGGAATTATTGGATAATAATTAAGTTTTAGAGAGCCCAAGCATAAATAATTACTTTAGTATTAGAGCTTAGTGTTAGAGAAGTAACCACTAAGCTGTTCTTTCCTTAGAGAACACCTCATCGTCTAGGGCCTCTTCTGGCGTTGGGGCCACTCAGGCCTGCTCAGCTCATTAGAGGCATCATGCCCTTATGTTTATCTCCATAGCAAGCAGACAACATCCTGGTAATGTAATAATTCTCATCATCCATGTAGAGAAGAAAAAAAAAGAAGTGAAAACACAGTTCTGTTTAATAACAGTTATTTTCTAATCTGCTGGATAATTCCTGCGAACTCATTCTCTCTTAGAGGAAGCAAATGCAAGTTGTAGCTCAGTTACATTTGCTGGCCTCATTCACTTTAGTTCCTTGCTAGTTTTATTTTTATACGGTAGTTAATAAAGATTATACTTGATCTTGCATGGTCTCATCCACAAAATGATCAACCAACTATACCTGTGTTCAACACCAGTAAAAAGGCACTTTCACTCATGTGTAAGGTATGATTCTGAGAAACAAATTTTTTTTTTTTTTGGGTCCGGTCGTGGGGCCTGAACTCTGGGCCTAGGTGCTGTCCCTCAGCTCTTCAGCTCAAGGCTAGCGCTCTACCACTTGAGCCACAGTGCCACTTCTGGCTTTTTTCTTCTTGTTTATGTGGTGCTGAGGAATTGAACCCAGGGCCTCAGGCATGCAAGGCAAGCACTCTACCACTGAGCCACCTTCTCAGCCCCGAAACACAATTTTTTTAAGAAAGGAAAAGTTATAAAATTTGGGCATATAAAAGAAAAACAGTTATGTCTTCCAATTTCTAAGACAAATAGCCATGGCTTATTGGGAAATGGAGTCGATGCTACTTGGAGTTCATGTTGATAGAATCACAGTCTCAAATCATCTATGGGAGGGAGCCACCAGGCAGACCTAGCTTTAAACAGAAAAAAAATTGCAGCAGGCTTTTGCATATGTGTATATTTAGTTAAGCTTAGTAACAAAATGAGGTGGTCTTGTCAGAAGGTCTTAGGGTGAGGGGGTTGCTCTGGTGGAAAGCCAGGTGGAGAAGTGAGCTTCTTAGATCAGTCAGGGTCACTGTTAATGTGAGTCTTACTGCCTGAGATGGCATGGGGGTGGGGAGAGAGCTGCTTTGTTGGAAGGAGCAGAATGGGATTCACAGTAATAGGGGGCAAAAAGCAGCAAGAAGAGGAGAAGTCCTGTGATTCCTTCCATAGCAGCCATTCCGCTGGAATGGCACACACAGTGTTTGAATCGTGTTTAATATTTTAGCAAAGAGCTTTCAAAACCTAGGGCTAACCTCAGTTTCATCTTACAATTACGCTATGAAAGAGAGAGATCAAAGAACATTTTTAAGATTAGGATTTTCAGGTTCCATCTTCAGGCCACAGCTGGTACTAAAGGTCTTTAATTTAGTCAGGGCCAGATTCTTCCATGTGACCAGAGCTGTGCAAGGCACACTGTAATTGCAAACATAGTCTCTACTGTGCCCTATGATGTTTGGTTTCTTTTCAGTTTGGGGCCTAAGACTTCTCCCTCCTCTCTTACAATTACTGGTTTTCCCTTCTTCAGGCAGGGTGACTACTGCCCAGAATCACTCTAGGTAGTGATGCCTGATAACTACACAAGTAGTCACCCTGGTAAGCTTGTGAACTATGAAGAACAGACTAGACTCCTTAGAGGAGAGGCTGCCTTCTGTTAGCATGGAAATAGCCATGCATCACTGAGGGACAGATTCATGTGTCTTCTGCAACTTCATACTTCCACAGCAGCAAATACATTTTCATAACCCCAGTCATGACACAAAGTGATAGTTTGTCCAGCCTAGACCATAAGTAAGACAGTGGCTGATAAAATCATAATGAAGCTTAAAAAAAAAATCCCAGCCAGTGCCAGTGGCTCACGCCTGTAACCTTAGCTACTCGGGAGGCTGAGATCAGAGGATAGTGGTTTGAAGCCAGCCCAGAGAAGTATGTGAGATTCTTATCTCCAATAAACTACTCAGAAAAAGCCAGAATTGGCTCTGTGGCTCAAGTGGTAGAGTGATAGTCTTGAGTAAAAAGAAGCTCAATGATAGCAGCAAAAAAAAAAAAAAAATCCTACAGCCTACATTTCTTTTATACCCTTTCTTTGTATAAAGGAGATTGGACACATGTGCTCACAAGTCTTCTCTAGGCTTGGAGACTTGAAGGACTCATGAATATGAAAGAATGAGATCTCTGGTAGCAGATAAATAACTGATTCGATTTTCACTAAATCATCTAGACTTCCGTCACAGAAATGAAAGATGCTGTGTGTTTAAGTCCTCCCTCCTCTTGGGAAATAGAAGAGGGCTTAATGCCCTTTGGGCAGGTATCAGCCTGTGTCTGAAAGTCTGTTTCTATACAAAATAAAGACTTCTCTGCTTGTAAGCATCAGACACGGTATATACATGGGTGCGTGACCTGTGCAGTCACACAAAGCCCTATTCTTTGAAGAGCTCCAAGCTTGATTTAATGTTCTGTCATCACCAATTCATAATTCTTAATAATTTTTTTATATTTTTAATTAAGGTTTTTATTGTGAAAATACTGTACAAAAGGGTTACAGTTACAAGGACAAGGTAATGAGCACATTTCTTATCCACCATTGTTGCCTCCTCCTTTGTTTTTCCCCTACTATCCCTTCTCTCCCACCTCCTCAGGTACACCCCCCACCCCCACCCATACCCCACACCCCTGCCTAAATTATAAAGTTTGTTTTTCGACATAGTGTCTTAACAAAGGCCCCTGCATTTTCATTTTGCACTGGTCCCTCAACTTATATAGTTGATCCTGTCAGATATGTGTTAGGACTGGTGAGAAAGGAAATTAGACTGTTCCACTAAGTGTGATGTTTACAGATGGCAAATCCTGGTGCTTTTGGAAAGTAGGAGTTTTATGCACTTGTAAGAGCATTTGCCACGCCAAACATGGAGCACATTCATCCATGAAATAATCAATCTTGAAGTGCTTTCTAATATAAATGCTGTACTGATGTCAGATGAAACATGAATATAAGAAGGTATCTTTCCATTCTGTGAGCCTGAGGATGTTCCCTCACCTCGTTTTTAACTGAAAGGTGGTTATGTTTTGAACCCTAAATCAAGAAGTCCCTGTAAGTAAGAGCAGGTTTATTGCAAAGCTTGGAATCCAGAATTCATCATTGCATTCTACTCTTCTGTGTTGGAATATTAACAGTCCTGGAGTCTCATAAATTATGTATTTGTTGCTGGATATTGCTTCCAGCTATAAGTGGCAAAGCCCTTCCTTCTGTAGCTTATTTTGGTTTTGCAAGATCATGGATGTGTCACAGAATGCTTTAACAAGGGATATATCATCTAGATCAGTTACCAGCCAGTTCTTCCCTTCTTGCCCTTGAATGTTAGAATGGTAGCACTCCACACTTAGGACTTTTAGCCAGGCACTAGTGGCTCATGCCTGTAATGCTGGCTACTTAGGGGGCTGAGATCTGAGGAACGCAGTTCAAAGCTGGTCCATGCAAGAAAGTGAGACTCTTATCTCTAATTAATAACCAAAAAGCCAGAAGTAGGAGCTGTGGTTGAAGTGGTTAGAGCACCAACCTTGAGCAAAAGAAAACAAAAGCCCTGAATTCAAGCTCCAGTACTGGCA